AGCACCACAATTCAAAGGCCTCAATCCTTTGGCGCTCAGCCTTCCTTATGGTCCAACTTTCATAGCCATACATTGCAACTGGGAAAACCATAGCCTTGACTATATGCACTTTTGTTGGCAGGGTGATGTCTCTGCTTTTTAGTATGCTGTCTAGATTTGCCATAGCTTTCCTCCCCAGGAGCAAGCGTCTTTTAATTTCTTGGCTGCAGTCCCCATCTGCGGTGATCTTGGAGCCCAGGAAAATAAAATCTGTCACTACCTCCATTTCTTTCCCATCTATTTGCCAGGAAGTGAGAGGACCGAATGCCATGATCTTAGTTTTCTTAATGTTGAGTTTCAAGCCAACTTTTGCACTCCCCTCCTTCACCCGCATCAAGAGGCTCTTTAGTTCCTCTTCACTTTCTGCCATGAGAGTATTATCTGCATATCTGAGGTTGTTGATATTTCTCCCAGCAATCTTAACTCCAACTGGTGATTCATCTAGGCCCACCTTTCTCATGATGTGCTCTGCATATAAGTTAAATAGGCTTGTGCACAGAGTATCAAGCCTTATTTCCACATTGATCCTTGTACTTGCTGCCAGCTCTTTAATTCTGCCTCCTTGAGGCCCCTGCCAATCTGATTAAGGCAAATTTTAGGTGTTATCACCTAGCCTGATTAAGAGATCTGGACCATTACCTATTTTTTTGTGGAATTTTGATTGCTCTTTGTAAAGGTATAGTTTTGCATTTTTTTTCCTCGTGGACCAGCATGACTATCTTTCCCTTTTTATTTACAGAGGTAATATATTAGAGATAGCTCATTATATAGATGATTTCCTTGTTCTGAGAGGAGAAGCCAATTTAAACCTTCTCTGGGCTGGAAGGGCAATAGAGGCTTCGGCGAATGGGGCGGCCTAGAAATTTTCTAAATTAATAAATAGACAACAAAAGGAAAATGTGTAATTTTAAATGCAAGCTATGATTGAGCACCAGGGTTCCCAGCTCTCCAAATAAGAAGCAGCAAAGCAGCATCAACATTCAGATTGATGTTAGAGCAGAGACACTTCTCTTACCTGGATGCTTTTGTTTTGAGCGGCCCTGTTTATGCATTTTGTTTGAATTTGCAGATTGCACTGTGCACCTTATTGTTAGCTACTAGTTTCCTATCTGTCATTGCAAACTTCATGACTACCATGGCAACCATGAAACTGCCTCAACATAGAATCAGCCCAATCCTTGTGGGTATCTAACATTCTTGACTAGGCAGGAGAACGCTCCTCCAAGAACAGAAGGTTTCTTCTTGACTGCCTTCTCATGAATAGGTTGCTATTTTTCTGAGTTTTAGACTCACAGAGTCCATTTCCCATTGCTGTCACTGGTGATCCACCCCTTGGGACAGATGTCTCTGGATCTGAGAGCTTTCAGCAAGTTTTCTGCTGGCAGGACTGTGACTCCTACCCCAACCCTGGGCACTTGTGGTTGGGTTCACACATAATGAGACCCAATGCCATGCTGTTTCCACACTAGCATGCATCCAGCCACTGGGTGCAGGTCCCCTGCTTCTGCCATTCACTATACCTGGCACTGCCTGTTCCTTAGCTGCCCACAACATGGTATAGGTTGCTTGAGGCAATGTACCCAGGGTGCTCAAAGCTGACTGTGGGACTGCCCCCAACTTACAAATTTACATCTCTTTGCAGGGCAGAGAGGGACCATAGTAGCATGGCGATTGCCAGGAAGTAGACTGGCATCCATGGCATGATGGAGGCTTAGTTCTGTCAGTGGACCCTCTGAGGGTAGGTCTCCCAGATCCATGGGGAAGTAGCGGCGTGGATATCCTGCACCTCACATCTGACTGCAGAGGCAGTTGGAGGGTTGAAAGGACAGTAGAGGGAGTGTGTGGCTGCTGTCAGCTGCCACAGCGTCTATCTCAGCAACTGGGCCAGGCAGTGCTGGGTTCTCCAGAAGCACATCTCTGCATGTCTCACAGATGTTGTGCGAGATGCAGTGTGCCACCATCATATCTGACACAACATCCTTGGCATCTAGCAACGTGTACAGGGAACACACCACTTTTTCAGCGGCCTGAAGATGCTCTCCATGGACAGCCTGGTATGGCTGTGGTAGTGGCTGAAGTTCTGCTTGGCTGTTCTGGGAAAGCTGAAGGGCACCACCAGCCTCAGCTGCAATGCAAAAGCCTGGTTGTCAGGGATTGGGGAATGGGTGGGCTTAATGTTCACTAGCGTGGTGATGGGGGATTTGTAAGAAGACTCCTCTCTCCAGTTTGCTTGCCAAGGGCAAGATCCAAAAGATGGCCATGTGATAGCTGTACCTGGGCACCCTGTGAAGACATCCTGGAACCCTGAATGATGTAGTAATGTTTACAGTTACAGAATTCCAGTCCCTCTCCCCCTTCTGAGGAAATCCCAGCTTCCCAAACCCCCAGAAGTTCTTGTGCTCATCCCCCGCCGCATTGATCACATCCACCAGATACAGCTGATTGATCACATACACTGTCTGCTGGAAGATAACACATGCAGTGGACTTTCCTGTGCTGAAGGTGGTGTTCAGGAAGGTAGCCGATGTTGAAGGGAGCCCAGTGAAGTCAGGAGGCTGCGCTGGGTGATGCTGGCTGGGGGACAGATGTGGAGGTGGCAGCACCACCAGAGGGGCCACTGGAGGAGGGGGCAGTGGCAGGAAGCACTGTAGTGGCAGTCCATTTGGGAAGGGTGGGATCAGGACTGGTAGAGGGTGTGCAGTGCTACTTCTGTCATTCGGATGGCCTTGGTCTGCCAGTCAGTAGCATCTGCAGGCCATCATGACAAGCTCACAGACAGCCCTGGCAGTTGTCCTTCCCTCTCTGATGATCTCTGCTGAAGAGAACATGCTGCTGGAGTTGTTACTTGCCTGGTCCACATTGGTAGCCCCCTGCTGTTTTCCCTGGATATTTCTGTGTCAGGTAATGGATGCCCTCTCCTGCCATAGCCTCAGTTCTCAGGAAGCACCCTCACTGCCAGAAGGTGAAAACTGTTTCAGTTTGCCAACTCACCTCCTTTGAGGGCTGCCCTGTGCTGGTGAGGCTGCAGACCAGCATGTCGTCCAGATCGGGAATGCTGTGCTGCGCTCGCTGCTATTGCTTCTTGGCAGATAGTTGCCTGGGTGACAAGGATTGGAGAAGGGGGCCGTTCCAAAGATATAGCCATGCTTTCCTGCTCCAGATCCAGTTTGGAGTGCATTTCCATGGTGAATGCTGCTCACACACAGGGCAATCCCCACAGCATTGGTGCATCTCTCCTGACCCTACGTGCACCATTTCTCTTCCATAGTCCTGCTTGCCTAACTGCTGGGGGCATGTAGGTTGGGCTGCTGGTGCTGGAGGAGGTTGTGGTTGGGGAACCGGGACCTGAAGTGGGGTGGCGAGGCTGCTGGAAAGTGAATGTTGTGTGCAAGGAAGAGTACCACAGTGCCAAGTCGAACGCCTTGCTTGGAGGCAGAGGCATCTGGTAGTCTGGAGAGCACAGTGGAAGGCAGGCAGAGCAGGGGGTTGCAAGGAAAATCCAGAACCACAGGAGGACATCTGGAGCCAGAGAAAAGTGGGCACAGTGGCCAATCAGAGCACAGCTGGTGCTGATACATCAGTTGCTAAGCAGATTGGATAGTTGTGGATGCAGACATGAGCAGCAGTGGCTGCTCTTTCCACCAGACTGTACAGTAGGCACATGGAAACTGCATATCCAGGTTCGGATGACCAGGAATGCCACGGTGAAGCCATAGAACTAAGTTATTTATCTGCATAGTTCCTGGAGACCAAAAGGACTGTGCAGTAACACCATGACAGGGTTCAAACCACACCACAGGTCATCCATGGTGAAAACCAGCATGGATTGTTGTGAAATCTGAGCCCGGCTTGTGGCTTACAGAGATAACTTGACCAGGTGACATAATAGTTCAAATTCAACATTTCCTAATGAATAGGGCTCAGGAGATTTGTATTTATTGTTACTGAACACAAATGAGAGGCTTTTACTGAGCCCCAGCTATGTCAGTGAGGGTGCTATTGCATTTTTGCAATGCCATCTAGCTGAGTTTTTCTGCCTGATAAGTCCTTGTCTAAGTTTGCCTTTAGAAAGAGTTGAAGGGAACCAATTGCCTACTGTGACTTATTTTCCCATGCCCATTTTGAATTGGAGACACTTACTAATTTTGCTGTATACTCCCAGTACACCATCTAGTTTTATTTTGTTGAATAAATTTTAGAGGTTGCACCATGAAGAGGCAAAAAGGTTTTTGATGGACTGCAATCAACCACGCTTTTGTCCAACTCTTGCCCTTCACAGTTTATAACATCTAGCAGAGAGTAATTGCCTGGGAATTCCAGAAGATGGTGCCTGGCAAGATCATTAAGGCAAGCAATGGCTTCCTCCCAGACTGAGTGCTCCCTAATGACTCAAAAGATACAGTTGTGGAACTGTTCCTTTCTTCCAATCCCAATGATGACAGCAACTATTTGCTAGTTGCAAATACTAAACCATTTGCTTGAGCATGTCTCTGTGGTGTAATTTCAGACTCCTCTGAATGTAAATGATTATCTAGATCCATGTCAGGCCTGGTTTTAGTGCAGCCTGAAAGATAACTTAAGTCTGGAGAAAGCATGGAGGGACTATGATTCTGTAGCTCTCAACACCAATAGCTATGGCATCCCTTTCAGGAAGCTCTTTGGGTAGGAGATCCTACCCAGTGCACTGTATTTCAATGGTTCACAAGCTTCAAAGGCCAGTTCCAGGTAGCAGCCCTGGAAGACTACTCATCAGCCTCATGGCATTTACACCATGGGGTTCTGCAGGACTCCATTTTGTGTCTGCTTTTTTTAATGCTTTCATGAAAACAGTGGGTGAGGTACAATGAGTACCTCAGAGGAGTGCTGCTTGATGATACCCAGCTCTTTCTCCTTTTCTTTAGATGCAAGTGAATTGGTGTTGAGTCTGTAATTGGTAAAGATCTGGATGAAAGCCAATAAACTTATACTCAGTTCAGACAAGACAGATATTTATTAATGCATGTCCTTTCCAGATGTATGCACACATTCTGAGACATCCACATATCAGAGATCTTTCAACCTTGGCAGGAGCTCATGTCCAAAGATCTGTCCCATTTATGAAGAACTGCCATTTCAAATGCAGGAGAGTGTTGTTTACTAGTTACACTAGGATGAATTATATAAACAATGACCATGGATGGACCTGCTGGCTGGGTGTGTTGGGGATTATAATCCAACCAATCAGGAGACAACCAGGTTGAGGAATGCTGATGTAGACACTCTTGAGCTAAATGGCTGCACTTTTGAGGCCATTATCTACATGCTGTATCAAGGTTATTCTGGTTCATTTTAGTGGGCTGCTAGGAGTGGCGAGAGTAGAGGCCATATGAGGCCATTAGGAATATCTTGAGTTTAAAAAATATTCATATTCCAATTGATACATCCCTTGTATATAGAATGTATATACTATATGTAGGAAAAGATTAACTGCTATATTTGTTATTGTTATATTCTTTTGCACTATCATCATTGTAATGATCTTTCTGAGCAAAAATGTATTATTAGTGATGCTTCCCGATGCTATTCCCACTACTGACTTTGCCAAGACATTATAATGTCCTGATATAAACTGATATTTTTTCTGATGCAAATGACCTTATGCAAATGAGCCTAATTTCCACTGGAACTTTTTCTGTAAACTTCTTCATGTTCCAGCGACCCCATATCACTGGCTATGTCTTTAAGTTTAGGAGGTCTGGGTAGCAGACACCACTGGGGTATGTGTGCTTCTGAGTCAAGAACAGAGTCATGGAATCAAGAATAGAAACTGACAGATACAAATCTTAAGGAAGCAATCTGACTGGGGCACTCATAAGCCCCAAATTTAGAGGCTTACAGGCAGACTGCTTGGAATCTTTAACTACTATTCTGACTTCCATTCATGGAAGAAACGTGGGATATAATAAACAAGTAGGACCCCAAAAAACTGATGCCACATGAAATGCTCCTGTTCGGGAATTCATCCATTTGCTTTTCTAGAGGACTTCATGCCAGAAGACAGCCAGCCAGCATTCCAAGATTGCAGAGCATGCTCAGTCCCCTCTAAGCTTTACTTTCCATGTTTCCCCACCCCATCACATCTAATACCTCCTTCTTATGTGTTGATGGTGCGATTTGGGCAGCATACAGACCAGTAAATGTGTTTGCTTTAGTATAATAGTGTCCAGAGCGTTGTGTGTGTGTGTGTGTGTGTGTGTGTGTGTGTGTGTGTACTTGCATAGGATGCTTGCTTTCATCATGCCACCACTTTGCCTTTCATGGTCCAGACAATATAGTCTTCTACTTACAGCCCACCTATGTTTTCCCTTCTATTTCTTCTTCTTTTCACTCCTCCCCCGCAAAAAAACACCAAAAACCCTTGTTAAGGAGGAAAATACAGAGTAGCTGTACAACAACTTGGGATGTACTAGGACTAAACGCTCACTCACACTCCTGCATGCGTAGGTGTGTGATCAGGATGTTTTTATCAGGACAGCAAGAGCATGGCCGTTGGCTACCCAATGAGAAGGAGGTGGATAGAAGTCAGTATTCACCCTCCCATCCCATTTGTCTTGACTCAGGAGCAAGAGCCACTGAGATCAGCGGAGATTACTTCGGGCTGCGGCGGTGTGCATGTGCTGCTGGAAGGGGAATGTGCTGGCTACCTGTGCTGGCGGGGCTCTTGCTGCTAAGGGAGGCGTGCAGGTGCGAGGTGCTGCCAGATGGACTCCTCTCCCCTTAGAAAGGGCATTAATTGCACTAAGCAATGGCAATGGAGGCTGTGAGGCAAAGCAAGGCAAGACGGATGCCTAGCGGGGTGTCCCCGTGTTGCAAGGCAAATGTGGGTGCTGCAGAGGTTGCCTGAAGGTTGCCGGAGGATTTAGGGGTGCTGTTCGCTCTTTGCAATGGTTCTGGGCAGGTGACCCGCCTCCCCCAGCCAATGTACGTGTTAGCATGTGAGGAAGTCGGAGGGGAGCGAGGGCGGCTCTTGTGGGCGCTCCCAGCTGGCGCGTGAAACAGCGTTTCTCCCTGGCGGGGAGGTGCAAGGCTCTGCAGCAGCGGCAGAAAAAAGCGAAAAAGTATGTGTGGGAGGACCTATCCGGTGCTAGGAGATTGGGAAGTGTTGGGCTGAAACGCCCCAGGTTGGCGGGAAAGGAAGGGGGGGGGGGAATTGCTGCAGCTTGCCTTGGAGGAAGGGGCAGGCCAGTCCTTGTGGCTTGTTCCTGTGGCTGAGACGCGCCTGCTGCTGCCCTCGTTTGTGTGCGGTCCAAGCGGTGATAACGGGAGCACACGTGCGCATGTCTCGTGTGTTTTGTGTTGCGTGTGCGTGAGGAGGAAACGATGGGAAGAAGATGACACGCGCCTCTCCTGAATTTCCTGCCGTCCCATCGATGGCTTTCATAGCTGCCTTGTGGTTCAGACGGTGCCGGGAGCGTGGTTCCATTTGCCACCCACCCGCTGGGAGAAGGAAGCACCATCCCTCCAGCCTGGCTCGGTCTCCTCTGGATTCAGGAGGAACTGCCGCAGGCTTCTCAGAAGGCCGGAGTGCCGCCTTTTACACCTGGCTCCCGGCACATGTGAATGTGTGACTTCTCTTCTTAACCATCTCCATTCCCCAAAAAGAGTCTGAAAAGGTCTTTAGAAGCCTAGGCAGACAGTGAGCAAAATTGCCGAAATAAGAGGAATGAGACAAAGGAAGGGGGTTGAGTGAAGTTGAGTTATGCTTGCCGAACGAAGCGGGAATGTTGCGGTATTAGGGAGTACTCATTTCTTCTTCCTCCTTTCTCCCTCCCCTTCTAAATGAGAAAGATTCTCTAAAATCAAAGATGCATACAAATAGAATTTTCACAGTATTTTTGGTGCTCGAGGCAGAAAATCCCAGTCTATCTGAAAATCTTCCATATACTAGCAGACATTTTGGGGGGAAAAACCAGAATCACAGATCCATGTGTTGTCGTCTGCCCCCCATCCACCCCGTACACACATATATACAAAATGGCATCTAAACTGGGCAACCTCTACCTGCCTATTGGAAAGGCTATATATAAATGCACAGAAGTGGAGATTGCAATCCTGTACTCATTCATCTGGTAAGAAAACCCAAATGTATCAATACAAGACTAGGGGTACATGGCTTAACAGCACCGAAAAAGACCTTGGAGTAGTTGTGGACAACAAGCAACAAGATGATGTTATTCAATTAAGTCTAAGAACAGTTTGCGGTACCCTTCCATAAGTGGAAAAATCTATGTCATACCAAGCTAAGTTATATTTCTCTTTCAAACGCATCATTTAACTTCATGTAGTTTAATTCTATTACAAATAGTTAACCCCTGAATAGATCTGCAGATTGTGTTGAAAGTGAGTCTGAACAGACAGGTGTGGAGTACTGGTGGAACTTTATGGAAATATTCCTGAACCTGCTCCCCTCCCTGCCCACATTTAACTTCTGAATTCACTGTAGAAGAAATTACTTCTGACTAAATAGTTGAAGTCTGTTAATAGTCTGCTTTCATTAGTGGAAGTGACAAAGCTGCCCTCCCCCACTCCAAAGGGATGAAAGTAATCTTAGGTTCCCTTGTCGGGCAGGTAGGTAACCGTAAAAAACTGAGAACCAGGGTTGCCTATTGCGCTGTGTGAATATAACCAGACACACAAACTTTGGAAAGCCTGGCACTTCCATTCAACCAGAGGAAATGTTGCAGATCTTATTTGTGTGCATGGAATGTATACTTCAGTTGCATTTTATGGGCACAGAATTTGGATTGTCTGACCAGCCCCAAAGGTCTAAGCTTTCTCTAATTTATCTGCACATTGGTGTGAGCTGCTGGTCCTTAAATCTGTCATAAGCCTAGCACCGAACTGGCAGGTTCTAAACTCACGAGGCATGTAAACATAGCAAGTTGAAGCACAGCCATTTTTGTGACTTCAGAAATTGATTGGTTGTATTTCCTACCCTTCCAGTCCTTCAGAGGTTTGATTGCTAGTGGTCATGGTGCCCACTAACAGATGAGAGAGAGAGAGAGAGAGAGAGAGAGAGAGAGGGAGGGAGGGAGGGAGGGAGGGAGGGAGAGAGAGATTAAATACCTAAAGCTTCATTAGATTTTTGGAAGGCTCCTGTTTGTTATATTGTGATTCAATAGTGTCAGGATGTCCATGTCAAATGCAGCCATTGTAAACAATTGTTTTTAAAAAGAATTATATTAATGCTTTGATGAAGTCTTTAGTGCCATTAAAAGACACAACTAAATTAAGAGATTTATACAAAGCAGTAAAAAATATGTTAAAGAGATTTTCTTTGTCCACTGTCAACATATCTGGCATAGTTACTGATGGTGCCCCAGAGATGGTAAGTAAAAGAGAGGGACTTGTAAATTTAATAGAAGACAATGCAATTGCAGTACAAAACTCATGTTTGATGAAGTATCATTACATAGTACATCAAGAAATTTTATGTGCAAAAGCTTTAACATGGATAATGCCATCAAGACTGTGAATTTCATAAGGGCCAAGGGATTAAATCATTTCCAATTCCGAGGTATTCCTTAAAAGTGTTGATTCTGACTATGATGACATCATTTACTTTTTGGAAGTAAGATGGCTAAGTTGTGTCCAAATGTTGAAAAGATTTTATGATTTGTTATCAAGTTGTTAATGGTATCAAAAACAAAATTTGTGCCAGAATTTGACGACAAAAACTGGCTTACAGATTTAGTGCTTTTAGTGGATTTAACTCCTCATTTAAACGAGTTAAACATGTGTCATCAAGGGGAAAATCAACTTAGCAATACAGTATTCTTGGTTTTTGGTTTTTTGTCCTTTCTAAGCCATCCAGAGAGTTTTTAGTAATGGGACAGCATAGAAAAACTTTAAATAAATAAATAAATGTTTCAAACCATCACAGCATTCCAAATGAAACTGAAATTATGGCAAGCTCAAATTAAGGGAAACAATTTTTTAGACATGTTGACTACAGTTTATTTGTAAGCCGCCCTGAGGCTTCGGCGAATGGGGCGGCATAGAAATTTTCTAAATAAATAAATAAAGAGTCCTGTGAACAGCAAAAAATATGCAGCTTTGCTTTTTGATTTGACACAAGAATTTGAAAACAGATTTCAAGATTTCTGGGGAAATAATACTTTGATATATTTGTGACTCCATTTTCAGCTGACAGAAATATTTCACCTGCCAATCCTCATGCATACAGTTGCAATCTGACGTTCAATCAGACATTGCTGACGAGAAGAAGAGCACAGTTCACAGTTCTGTGTTGACCTGGAACAGAAGGAATACCCCCAGTGTCAAATGATCACAGGGAATGAGAGGAACTCATGAAAACACTCTGTCTTGGACTTTGAGTAAATTCCACAATACTCCAGCAGGAGTATTCCTCCTACCCTTCCTTTTAGAATTAAAATAGCTCCGCTTGCACAACCCTGACTCCTGGCACAGTTATTCCAAAACATACAGAGCGTCCGCATGTCATATGGATTGCCTCCAGGCGCACTCAGCAAACAGGAAAGCCAACCAAAACCAGCACTAGTTGGCTGCTCCTCTAGCAATACAAATCAATACTGCCTGGCCACTCCCACTGCGCACCCCAGCCCAAAATATTTAATAGATCCCAAGTCTTAGCAGCTTAGGATTGGCTGGGTTTTTAAAGAGAAAATATTATTTTGTACCCATTATTTTAAACCAAGAAATGCAATCTAAATTTGAACTCTGGAGTTCTGTGGAACACCAAGATCCCTTTCCCCCAACCACTGATGTCCCAGCTTTTGTGCTGTTTGGCTCCATTCTAAAAGGCTGCAGTGCCACCCCTAAGTCTTTGCTACTGGCTGTAATTGCTTTCAGCTAAACCATGCTGGCCTTTTGGCCCTTCCCCTTTTGCCTTCAGCCCCTTGGAACTGCACAGCACACCATTAGAACAAAGCTTTTCTAGTTTACCTCATCCTCTAACAACTTTCTTACAGGCCCCTTCCCTTCCCAAGGCTGGGAATTGTCCTCCCTCCATTTATACCCCATTCAAGGACAATGGGGATGCATCTCAACACCTTTCAAGATGCATCTCAAACACTTCTCCTTGGCCTCAGGCTTGACTTATGTTCCCTCTCTGTCCAAACAGAAATTATAGCAACTTATCTAATTGGATAGACTTAGATGGATTAGATGTAGACTGTACACTACTTTACCCACTTCCTGCAGTGAAATATTGGTCAGAAGTAATAATAAACACATGAAAATGTGTTTTGCTCATCTTTTTTCTCTCATGGCATTTTACAAACTGATGATGACTTCAGACCAGCAGATCAGACATGAGAAGACATCATTTTGTGATAAGTATGCCAAAACTTCTTGGAGAGAACCAGAAAGAAAACAAGAACCTTAAAGGTGAGAACAGGAGGCAATTCTTTTAGGCAACAATTCTCATTTAGATGTATATAGCATTTGTTAATATTTAGCTCCCTCTCCTGGACATACATTAGAAGACATCCACAGTTCCCTCCTGTTGCCTTTTCTCTGGTTGCCAGCACCTGGGTAAAAGAAGAGGCACCTCTGCTCTCAGTGGTTCAGTGAATTCTATCTCTGCTTCCTTTGCCATAGAGCTCCTCCTCCTGGGTTGAGATCTTTGAGCTCCCAAAGACAGGCAAAGCTGATGGAGAGAGATCATGGCCAAACTACATGATGCAGGACAATCTCAGTGATAGCTCCTGGAACCCTTTTTCTTGGCTAAAAGCAAGAAAAAGCAAGCAAGAAGCTTGCCTGGTGGAGTGGATTTCAATGGGACGTTGGGACTAAGGGAGGGGTCAGCTCTTCCCCTCAGTCCAAATAGCCAGGTAGAAAGGCTGTGGTCTGTGGACAGAATTCACTGAGCTAATTGCTTCTGAGGGCAAGAGAAGTCATGGAGTGGGCATGGGGAGCTGTTTGGCCCCCTCCACCCATGCACTGTCCCCACCCTACATACAGCACAAAAAGAAAATGTGTCTGTGGTCACAGTTCGTTCGGTGCTCAGTTGAGGCTCACTTCTAAATTTACATTGGAAACAAAAGCGCAAAAAACTGGAATGCCCTGCTTTGGAGTTGACATCATTAACAGAGATCAGAAACACTGAAAACCCCATTCTAGAGATGCAGCTTATCAATATTATTACAAATATCTGCACTATTAGGATACACCATGGGGATCTAAAGCATTCTGCACTTTAAAAAGTTGCTATGTAAACACTTGCTACTACTTACTACATGATGGTCATTAATGATAAGGAATGGCAGAGTATGATTAGTCTTAAGAAGGAATAGAACTGGTGCCATGCAAGCTCACTACAAGAGCACAAAGCTTTCCCTCCCTGTATTGGTGCTAATGCTTTGGATGCATGTTTCAAAGATCCCTGCCACATCAATTTCTCCTAATCTGCCATATTTTCCTTTTATTATATCTTGTAGTTGGCAAGATGTCCTGTAATACAGAAGAATGAGGAGATGGAAGATCAGCAGGAGTTACAATCCTGCAACATGTGGAGGGCTTCCTGTGTGTCCACCCCTACCCTCCTTAAGCAAAGTAGCCTCTTGTTTTAGTCTAATGCTCTGATGTAATATTTTAATTTTGATGTATCATGTTTTTACATTTTCACTATGTTATTAATGTGTTTTGACTGCTGATTTCTTGTTATTGGTTTTATAATGTTGTGCTGTTCTAATTGTTGTAAACTGCACAGAGAGTCCAGGTATTGGCTATTGAAGCAGCATACAAACTGAAACAAACATGGCCTATGAAAAGTGCCCCATGATATCCTGGTTGAGAAACAGAGGAGTTTTGGGATAGAGACCAAAGCACTATCCCATGGATTAGGGCATGGTTGACTGACCAAAAACAAAGGGTAACCATTAGTGGGGGATCATCGGGATGGTGGCCAGTGACAAGCGGGGTCCCCCAGGGCTCTGTCCTGGAGCTGATCCTGTTTAATCTTTTCATCAATGACATAGAAGAAGGGGTGAACAGTCTGCTGATCAAATTTGCAGACAACACTAAAACTGGGGCAGTGGCCACAACTGAGGAGCAGGCACTCCAGATCCAAAAGGATCCGGACAGACTGTGGAAGTGAGCAGGAGACAACAGTGGATTCAATGTGGATAAGTGCAAGGTCTTACACTTGGGGCACAGGAATAGGTGTCGTAAGTACAGGTTAGGGGACAAGTGGCTGGAGAGCAGCACTGCAGGGTGCTGGTTGACTGCAGGCTAAACATGCAGTCAGCCGTGTGATGCGGTGGTTAAGAGGGCAAACGCCATCCTTGGTTACATAGCCAGAAGTGTGGCTTCTGGATCAAGAGAAGTATTACTACCATTCTATACAACTCTGGTGCTCCCGCAATTGGAGTACTGTGTTCAGTTTTGGGCCCCTTATTACAGGATGGATATAGCCAGGTTAGAGTCAGTTCAGTATAGGGCCACAAGGTTGGTGGCCAGTTTGCAGGGGATGCTGTATGAGGCAAGACTGAGAGAACTGGGTCTCTTCAGCCTGGAGAAGAGGAGACTCAGAGGGGATCTGTTGGCAACATACAGGTATGTGAGGGGATGTCACACAGAGGTGGGTAGAGACCTCCCCTGCAGAGGAAGGCAGGACACTCTCCAATGGAGCAAAGCTCAGGGAACCAAGGTTCCATTTAGATGCCAGGAAGCACTTCCTGACAGTCAAGACCCCGAGGGTATGGAATGGGCTTCCATGGGAGGTGGTTGAGGCCCCATCGGTGAGGATGTTCAAGGATAGGCACAACATGCACATGGTGGGCATGTCGTGAGTGGAGTCGGCTGGAGCCAGGGGTCAGACTGGATGGCCCGGGAGACTCCTTCTGACTCAATCTGTTTCTATGTTCCTAACAAGCAAACATTTTGATTGTTTAAAGACCACATGAAATGCTGTTGCCCCAGGGGTGGTCAAAATGAGGAGAGACAGTCATGGATGCATTATATTCACCCAAGTACCCTGAACAACAGAAACCAGCTGGGGACTGCTTTATGCAACTCAACTGCCTTTGTTTAGTCTTAGCTATATATAGGAAACTTCTGCTTAATGCTATTTTCTTGTTGTCATGATTATTAGGAAGATTTGCCCTGGCAAAGTTTTAAAATATAGAATCTGAAGCCTTTCAGAATATCCTTGGCATTGTAGTCAGGCACCTGGACTTCTCATCCTCAGCAGATGCGGTCCCTGTGAAGGATTTCCATTTCCTTAGAATGAGTTCTCCAAGGATGCCTCAGGAACCATTCTCTTGCATGGCCCTCCCCATATTCCCCGGGCTCCAGAAGAGAAGATATCAGTGCACCAACCCTGCTTAGCTGCTAAAACAGACTAGAGCCCTTTCACCTGCCTAAGGGAAGCCAGAGGCATACTTTAGGCTCATTCATCATCTCCTGCGTGTTGAAACACAACATGCAGGTAAAGTTGTCTGGTATGCAGTCCAGTCACCTGGAGCTTTCCATGGTGCTGCTCTGTTTGGTTGGAATCCTTCACATCTGACTTGCCCTAAGTCCGTGCTGTGAACCAAACCTAACGATGCCCAGCTGTGAATCAAGGTGAACTGGAATAGTAAACCAAGAAATGGAAAGAATGAACATTGCAGTCCTTGGTGTGAGTGAACTCAAGTGGACTGGAACAGGACATTTCCAATCAGACAGACACAACGCGTTTTCACTCTGGAAATGACACATTCAGAAGAAGAGCCTGCAATATTAGAAAGCAACATGAAAGCTCTTGCAAAGAATAAAGCAGCTGGAGCAGATACGATACCAACAGAATTATTCCAAGCTGCAGAAAATGAATCCGTCCAAATCCTAGCAAAATTGTATCAACAAATATGGCAAACAAAACCATGGCCCACAGACAGGAAACATTCAATCTCTGTTCCTTGTCCTGATGTGTAACTTGTGTGACAGACAAGAAACTACAGTTAGGACAGAATGGGGATAAGCAGAATGATTGCCCATAGGCAAAGGCATCAGACAAGAATGTATTTTATCTCCCTATCTGTTCAACCCATATGCAAAAGATATCAGGGAAGCAGGATTAGAATCAGGGGAAGGAGTGAAATTGGTGGAAGAAACTTTACTAATTTTAGATATGCAGATGGCACCATACTACTGAAGAAAGCAACAATGACTTGAAATGACCCTGATAAAAGTGTAAGAAGGAAATACAAGAGCAGGACTGCAGCAGAATAGCAAGAGAATAATGAAATCATGTCTGCAAAAGAATTACAGGACTTCAATGTTAACAATGAAGAAATCGAAACTGTGAAAGATTTCACATATCTAGAAGTGTGTGACATCCCTGACTTGAGGCATCTATCTCCTCAGCTGCCCCTTCCCTACCAGTTGTGCTGGCCTGTGGGGCTGCAGGCACCAGCCATGAGGTGAGGGTGCCTGGTAAGACGTGGCCAGATTCACTGACCCCTCTTACCTTCCCTCCACAGTTGAAATTCCCCTGACATTTTGGACCCTGTGGGAAATAGGTTCCATTCTTTTCAGTGACCATGCAGGCAGTTTCCAAAATGTCATAGAACTACAAGTACAAATTGCTTCCTTCCAATTTGCATTGACCAGCCTTCCTCAACCTGGTGCCCTCCAGATGCATTAGAGTACACCTCCCACCATCCACAGCTGACAGAAGGCTGAAACAGACAAATATAAAGCATTTTTGTGCTGAACAGTTTGACCTTTCCATCATTACACAGTTGCTTTTAACAACGGATGGTTGCTTCCGCAAGAGCTTCGTGCCACTTCAGAGATAAACAGAACCTGAAAAATAATGAGATGGATCCAGGTATGTCTATCAGACTAGAGTGCATCTCCCCCTCCACACATACACAAACATACAACCTCATGGATTTGATCCCTTTTTCATACCCTAGTACCAAACTGGTGCCTTCCATACGTTTTGTCCTACAGCTCCCATCAGCCATAGCCAACATGGTCAGGATGATAGGATTTGTACTGTGAAATATCTAGAGGGACATAGGTAGGCAAAGGCTGCTCTAAACTTGAAGCAGCACTGTTCAAGGGTGGGCTACACAAACCTTAGAAGTAGCAAGAATGCACTCATGAATGTTTAGACAGACAAGTTTGTTTGGACACGCTGGGACTTGTACCACTTTTCTTGTCTAAATATACATTGGATTGTGCAATAAAATAAATGAAATCACATTTCCCATTGTTTCAAAGAGGAACAATATCGGACTGCAGTGACTGAAAGTTATCTTAAGCCATATGCCAAGCAAACTACAAGAGAGCAATTGGGTGACAGTCATATTGTCATCTGAGAATATGGAATGATTTCCTCCATGCCACACAACCAACACACATTCAGTGTGCTCCTTTTTTCAATAAAGAAAGGCATTGCAAGGAGGGGAATCTGTTCATCTTTGGGGCAGTCTATTTTCCTTTTCTCCACGCAATCAGATATTGGTAGTGTTGTTATCTCATTTTTCTCTAGAAATGCTCAAGAGCAATACTAATTCTCCTACTACGAAACACTAATCTTTAGTGCATTCCCTTTTGGGAAAACTCCTTTTTCCCTAGGAACAACCTATTCTTCACATCAGAAAATAGTCTGAACTGAGACATACTTCCTTTTAAGCAATCAGAGTTGGTACTGTGGGGTTAATATATTCTGAAGAAAGCAGTTTTCTATTTAGGAAGACCAGATGCAAAGGCAGCCAGAGTTCCCATGTGTGAAGTTGCACAGAAGAGGGAATGCTGGCAAGTGCCACTTTTCTCACCTCTGTGACAAGTTTCATTTGCTAAAATTCCCTCTTTGATCCAATTTACAACACTGACTTTATGCTCCAGAACGCCTTTCAACATGAGAGCCCAGCACTGGGCTTAAAAATCGTTGGCCATTACCAGATGCTTTCACTGAACTCCCTGACAGTTTTCAGTGACATATTCTAAAGTAGCTATTGCTATAATCATCATCATCATCATCATCATCATCGTCATCATCATCTATTCATGTTGTCATGAATATGCTGGACAGACTACACTAAAACAAGGACATTTAAGGGTTCAAACAAAAAATGTGTTCAAGCAAGACAGAGGAATAGATACCGGACTGGCACTGACCGCAGTTTACTGGAGGGCATACCTGACCAGTCATGAGTTGTGGGTTCCTTGATAGCAACATTTTAACAGCCCAAGGCAGAATAAAACCATGAGGCTCGCTGAACTTCCAGTGGGGCACTACACAAAAGACAGTTTGCAACATGCACACTCAGACAGGTAGCCCAATTTTCCCTCTCATGGTGCAGACACTGCCAGAGATTATGGTTACCATTTCTTTTTCAATAAGTCTTTTTCAATAAGTAGAACCAAACCCTGGTAGCAGCCTCTTGTGTGGCGGGTGAGGAGGAGAAACAGCTCAGATGAAACTTGCTACTCAGATCAAACCTAGGTTTATGTTCTGTGACAAAGCTGCTTATGCTTCCAAATTATCTTGCATGCATGAGAATTCTTTAGTATGCAGTTTGCACTCTAATCAGCTCCACAGCCCTGAACATTTCTTTGACATGGCTAGTATTTTTCAGCCATAAGCATAGTCTTGTATTATGAAACATGCCTTGCCTGAGCCTATGAGATAGATAGTCTGGACTCTTTCCCAGTCCTTTCA